AAAGAATGGAAATTGAAATACAAGAATAATACCACCCTTATTAGGAAAGAACCTGGAAAAACGAAAAAAAAAAAAAAAAAATTAAAAGAAAATAATAATAATAATAACAAATGTGACAGAACAACACAGCCAACCGCCTAGATATTGTTAAGAAGACCATTAAAGCAAAAAACCCTTTGTAATAATAATAATTTTAATAATAATAATATGCCTCAAAGAAGTTGTAACAGTACTGCTGAGACACTTTACAGAAGGATTAGAATAAATGATAAGGATGATATTTTTCTAGGGAGGTTTAAATATTTTAATTAAAAAATAATTGTATTTATAGAATAAAAAATATTTTTAATTATTTATTTATGTGTAAAATATATTCGTGTAATAACAGGATTAGGGAGATTTGAATATAATTTCATATTATTGAACATAAGAGAGAAAACGTCAAAGAAAATTCCGTTGAAAATTGAAGTTATGTCGGAGTCTGGTGAAGCACGTCCTGTCTCCTTGCGATCCAAACGCTTATAAAAGATTTTACCGCTGTTGTTAATAATAATAATAATAATGATAATAATAATAATAATTCCGTCCCTATAATGTGAATATAACCCCCCCCCCCACCTACCACTAATCTCATGGGCAGGACGAGCACTTTGGGTTTGGTTGACAGTCGTCCTAAAGCTGGTAACTTGAACAAAATTACCCTTTGGCGGTCAAGGATCAAACGCAAAAAATTACAAATCTCAATGATTACGAACAAATCTTTATGCCGGATCGGCCGTCAGCCGCGTCAACAAGGGTCGCGTATCTCAGAGAGGACCCATTCTGAGGCAAGAAAATCTGCCATTGAAACAAACTCTTCCAGCAACGAAGAGATACTTGGTCCCCAAACCCGGATTATTTCCAACCTTGGGACAAGTGACTCAATGCCAAATCAACTAATAAAAAGAAAACGACCGAAATGGTTACACGAAGAGAGTCAACAAGTCATGATGTTCTTTTTTCACTGCACTCGAAAATCCACAAAAGAGCACCACGAATCAGACATAGCAAATATGGAGAACTATGGTAGGAAGAGAAATAAGACCTCATCTCAACCCAAACATGCTTGCCAATGTTCCCAGCTTTTGTTTCAAAAGACTCTCAAATGCACAAGCAGATCAGATAAAACTAGATATAAGACAGAATGCAATAACTCATCACTCATAAAATAAAGAAATGAGAGTAGAAATAAATAATATGAAAGAGAATGAGATAAAAACTAAAATAAATGAGATACGAAATAATACCCCTTCCCCCAGGAAATAAAACTGAATCATCTAACTTTGACATAACCTGCAATTATCCATATTATGTCACCGAAGATGAGTCCAACTACATTAGGGTAGAATTCCTTGAAAACCACAGAGGAGAAATCATCGAAGCGAGAAACCACGTCATCCAAGTACTCAGCAGAGTAACTCTCATACAAATGTCAGACTGAGACCGTCTTCCAGAAATTCATATGACAAAGTTTAACAAGTACATTGTACAAAGGCACAACACAGCGCCGGGAAAGCAGTTAACGGACAAAATACTGAAAAAACATTTCAGAAGTTAACAATATTATATACGAAAGAGCTTTAACAGTTACTGGGAGTCTTGAAGTCAAGTTAATGAAAAGATCAAACAACGAGAAATAAAAGAAATCAAATGTGCGATTTCGATATTGGATGAGCTGACGAGAAAGACAAATGTCTTAACACGCAAATGCAGAAAGATCAAATATAATTTTAAATCACTAAATGACATTTCATCAATGAAGAAAATGCTAAAACAGAAACTGCAATTAAAGGCACAGAGAACATGACGATACGAAAATGGTTGTAGGTTCTATCGTCAAAATAAAATATTCCAAACTGACCTTAAGAAATTTTACATGGAAATTGGAAAAGCAGTTATGCATGTCAGAAAGCCACAATGTCTCTTCAATACTGTAAAATGTTTCAGTGGCGATATAGGTATGAATTTCGGATTAGATAAATGTGCAAAAGTAATATTCAAGAGAGGGGGAATTACGGAATCACACTCAATAGATTTAGATTTTGGCACAAAGATTAGAGAACTGGAACAAGAAGAAAGGTACCTAGGAATTAGCGAAGGAGATGGAATATAGCATATCCAAATGAAGGAAAAGGTATGAAAGGCGGGTGCGTCTAGTACTGAATACGAGCTGAAAATCATGACCATAGCTGACACTTGGCTGTCCGCGTGGAGCAATACGGTTTAACTTGACCATAGCTGACATTAAGCGAATGAACGCGAAAACGAGAAAGCCTCTCACCTGTCACCGCATGCATCATCCCAAGGCTGATGTTGATCGTCTGTATGTGCCCAGATTCAAAGAGGGCAGAGGATTAGTTCAACTAGAAATGTCTAACAAAACTACAACAATTGGCCTTCAAAGATACCTAGAAACAACAGAAGACTCGATGATGATCTGTGTCAAAGAACATGAAAGTAGTAAGTGACTTTATTCAGTAATAAAGAAAGCCAACATGTTCAAAATGGCGTTTCAAATGGGTGAAGAAATACAAATAAATTACAATACACCGACTGAAGCTGCAAAATACTTAAAAAAGAAAGCAATGGCAAATGCAGCCGACCAGATACAGAAACGATGGAAAGATAAACCGCTTCACAGTTAATATTCTGCCTTTACCAAACAAGCTAAAAAACAAACAAACCTCCTACTCATCAGTGGCTACGTAGTGCAGGTTTAAAAACTGAAACGGGATCTTTTATTCTTACTGATCAGGAACAGTGCTTGCTAACTAGAAATTACCAATCACACATACTGAAAAATTGTCTTAGTCCAAAATTCAGATTCTGTGATATATTTCCAGAAACCTTTGACCATCTTGTATCAGGTTGCGTGGTATTGGCACCCACTAAATATAAAACACGACACGGCAGAAAGATCTGCAACACTTACGGAAAGGAAACTGCAAGAAATTGGTATGAACTCCACCCAGACCCGGTTACGGAGATAGGTCCTGTAACAATTTTATGGAACATTACAATACACACTGACATCGTGATTAGAGACCGCAATGACAAAATGCGCCTCCTTATTGACATGGCAGTCCCCACAGACTGCAATATATATTTGAAGGTCTTCAAAATAACTATCATAATACAAGGACTTTGAAATTGGAACCTCAAAAATGTGACGCTTGAAGACATTAACAGTTCCCGTTGTATCTGGAACCCTCGGATTGATTAGAAAAGATTCCAATAGTCTCATTGAAGGAGTCTCTAGTAGCCCATGCCTTAAAGAAATACAAAAAATTGTGCTCACATGTACAGTCCACATCATACGAAGGGCTTTATCTTTGTAATATATTTTTTTATTTTGAAACTTCTCAGTGGAAAATGTCATGATGCCATTTCTGACCATAGGTCTCTCTTTGGGACCCGAAAAGAAATAAGTATACACTAGAAAGGAAAGGAAATAAAAAAAATAATAAAAATAATAATAATAAAAATAATTTTCATCCCGGAAATTCAGACAGAAAAAAAAACAGCATAAATTATTTATGGAAATATCCTGGAATTTGAGCTGCGATGAAATCCTTTGAGATCGATTTTCTTGTGTTATCAATTAATACACTGATGCGCCCCCCAACGTCAACTTAATATTACTTTAAGGGACTATCATAATTGGACAAATAAAGACTCACATGTGAAAGCCTTCTAACGATAATGTAGTCATTTTTTGACGACATGGCTAAACTAAATTTCAATATTTCTTTAATGAACCTTTTATTCGTCTATAAAAATGGTCAGAAGAAACAGAAGAGGATTTTCCATTATTTATCGCCAGTTTCACAGGCAATGAAAAACGGTAGAATTACGGAGAAAGCTACATTGAACTTTTGGAAAACAAACAAAACCCAGACACGAATATGCAAGATGATAGATTCTGATATGGCGTCTAGTCTACAATTGCTATCCCACAGACGTGCCGTGGCCTCCCTCTGTCTCTTCTACAAATATTTTCTCAGCAACTGTTCCGACGAGCTACTTTCGCTGGTTCCCGGACTACATGAATTTAAGCGAGCTACCAGGCTGGTATATCGGTCCCACCCTTTCACTGTCAAAACGGTTAAATTTAACCGCCTCTTCTTCTTAAACTGCTTCTCCTCCCGCACTTCCCGTCTGTGGAACTCCCCCCACCTTACTTGCCTCCCCGATGACTATAATCTTCAAATATTCAAGTGTAATGTCAATCGACATCTGACACCCTGAGCTTGTCCCCCTCCCTTCTCTATATCGTTTCCTCAGACACGTCTCTTTACTCTTTTTCTCAAACTTCTGTAACCCCTTGCGGGCTAGTGGCACTCTCGCTTTGCTTGGGGCGAATTGCCTTAAAAAAGATTTATTTCCCTCTATTTTTATCTCTGTACAATAAAGAAATATTTCAAGTCCGTTTTTGATCAGCTGAAAAGTCTATCTTGAATAGGCTTAGTTTTTAAAAGTAAATATCAATAAAAAATAAAGGGAAATTGTTTAGTTTAATTTAATCTGATATAAAGCTTCGATGTTAATAAATGATTACTCGACTTTCTCAGGCCTCCATCTTGAATGAATCAAATAAAGAAAGCGTTTCACGTCATCTTTGCAGTCGTATTCTGACGCTTGTTCTTTTTAAACGTTTCATACTTTCTGTCAACCCCGCTGATCATAAAACATGGCATTTTCCATAAACTCTTCCTCCACGACACTGTAGTAAAAGGCTGTGGGAATTCAGTTACCCCACTGACATTTTGCTGAGAACAAAACAAAATTAAACGTATCCTCTTGACCTCAAACTATAAAAATGACATTGAACTAAGCTGTATCAGTTGTTTAAAAAACATAGCTGCCATTAATTTTCAAAATAAATAATAAAGCTTCATTTTCCGTTTTTCTTTTCTTTCTTCAATAGTGACATCTAAAACTTTTATATTTAGGGAAAATGCTTACGGTCATATTATGTTGAAGCACCTGTTCCCGTACTATCACAGAAGTTAAACAACGTCGAGCCTGGTCAATACTTAGAAGGCTGACTGATTGGGAATAGCAGGCGCAGCCACAAGTCTTGCTAATTAACCCATAGCTGGAGGAGAAGAGGTGCATTAATACTTCACGCTATGGATTAATTAGTAGTGTTGTATAGACCCCTGGTGGGAGTGGTCTCTCGTCTTCTATCGGCCGGTGATCGCTAATTGTTTTGGTTCAGCAATGAAAGGCTTCAAAGAGAACTTCAACATAACTATTTTAGTACTCATGACGACATGTACATTATCTAACTATCCAGTGGGGATATCCTCCTCTATCACTGGAGAGCCGTTTCGAGCACGAAAGAGAGCACGTCTACATCATTTGACGGGTAAGAACCGAAACCTGAAACCTTTCTCCTATCTAGCTTTCCCACGATAGCTTAGCCAATCAAAACCGACTTCCCTATTATGGCTTACATCTGACTTCGAATGTCAACCTCCTGAAGTCAGAGTTGTGATACACTTCCCCTAAAAATGATAGTCTGTTAAAACATTATTTAACAGTAGGTTTTGTATCTTTAAATTATTATTATCTCCAAAAAAATTCTTACAATTTTTTCTGGCTTTAAATAATCTGATAAAACTTAAATGACAAATCAATCAATCATATACATGAAAAATGGCGATAGGTTTCACTCTGTGAAATAAGTGCAAACAGAAACGGGCAACTAAAATCAAAACAAAAAATGACGATCGGATGATGTGACAATCAATTTAAAAAAAAATCATCTGAGAAATCTTTAAAACTTAACACCTGACTTAATACTCTCGAAACCAGGCATAGACAACCTTTTTTGAGCAGAGGGCCGCATGATCTAAGGTTCATTACAAGGTCGACTGCACTACTAAATAGATTCAAGATAATTTTCCGCAGTAGGAACCTCAGCTATATTCACTACAGAAGACCATATGCATTATGCATATGGATTTCTGTTCAGAAAAGGTTTTTTGGATAATTAAAAATGTGAAGTTTTGCTATATTGTTGACGACAGTGCGATTGACACATGTCGCTGCATGTGATTTATTTCTAATTTGTTCATTTGAAAATTTTTAAAGAAGGATTTTTCTTCTCCAGAGAAAAATTATGATAAATATTTCCTATTTCAAAAGCAAAATATGTTTACACGCATGATCTTCCTTAGTGAAAATCGCCAATGGTTTAAAATGACGAAAACGTTAATTTCACCGAAAGTTTACGAAATGCAGGAAACTTTGTATTTTATCATTGTTTATGTATGTAGTTATGTATGAAAGAGTATGTGAATGAACAAGTGAGAACGGAACAAAACAATATTTTAAAGAAACGTTCATTTTCCTCATGAAATTAAGCGTGCCATTCAGAAAGACTAAACAGGTTACAAGTGGCCCGAGCCCCCCCCCCTATTTAATTTGTGTCACCATACCTTCCCGGATGTTTTAACGAATACAGGCTAGTCTGCAAATACTTCTGCTATTAAATAGTTTTATTAAGTACTTTCATTTTGTAATTATATAATCAAGATTGGATACAAATATCGCATGTTTCATAAAAACTAAAAAGACGCATTCTAAGAAAATATTCTTATGTCTATGGAACAATGCAAACGTTTTTCGAACGGTGTGTATACGAACAATGTGTTTGAGATGTGGAATAAAGAAGAAAGCTTGTTAGCGTACAGATTGATAAACATACGGAAATTATATAACCAATCCACACACACATGTATTGAACAATAAAAACAGTAAAAAATTACAACTTTTCAGATACACTGGGGTGTATATTAATATTTTTTTTTGTTTTATTATTTCAATTATGTTCCTAGACTAGTTTCGGCTAGCATGGCCATCATCAGGAGATATCTTGCAAGGAACCCTGGTAAATATTTTAGCAACTATAAACTCACGTCAAAAGCACTTTATTACATCACCTACCTTTTTTAAATTTAATCTTAAAGAATATAATGTATGTTTATTTACCACAACAGGCGTTTACATAAAAAAAATTAACATGCAAGCACCAAACACAAATAATGCTTACTAGACACACACACACACATACAAACACACGCACATGCGTACGAATATACATTATCATCTGAATAATTATTATACACGAACATACATAAAGCAATATTTACGGTTTTTCAGTTAGGCATGGAAACCGTTAATTTCTTGGAACTTCAAAAGGATGCGTATCTCTCCTTGAATTCGGAACGCCATAAATTATACTAACGTTGTTTAACAATTCAAATGCACATGAGACATGATTAACCAATGAAAATAAAACAACACAAAAGTAAAAAAATACCAGAATTTCGTTCTTTTATTTTTCTCCATATCTCATTTTCTAATGAAGCTTTAATAAAAGTGAAACATGTTAGATTCATAAACGTTTCCTATTTGTTCTTTTCCCGCCCTTTTGGCAGATTTGGATCTATATTTGATCCCAATTTTAACAAGCCTCATAAATATATATCAGGCTAGCTGAAAATCGAACATAATGCATAAATTAATCTCAAGCTAAAATAATATAAATAATAATTTCATTATAAAAACATTAAAACACTTTCGTTTATCAGACATTAAATTACTTCACTTAGCATCCTCCATAGTTTACCTTGACTTTCAATTAGCTTGATCTATATTTATGAGCGTTCCTAAATATAAAAATTCTAAAAAATTAACATTTTTTACATTCGTTTATAAATACTTGTTGCAAAATAAAATCCTTACATTTGCCTTCATAAAGTCCATCAGAGGACAAAACGCGTCGGTCAAGATAAGTTATATATATACTACTATTGTTCACGTAGTATAAGGCCCGAGAATCGCTTAATGTAAATGGTTACTGAAGGAGGTTGTTGCAAGAAGGGTGAAAAGTTGAGGATATGTAGGATAAATAACACTTGACCCTAGCATTTGAAGATGTTAGGATTATAGTGATCGGAGAGGCATAATTTAGGGAGACTGTTACAGTTCTGAGAAAGATGCTGTTTAAGTGGAACTTTCTCCTTACCAATGAAGGAAATTAGAGGGTGGGGCGGCCCTGTAGACGTGGTATGGAGAGTTGTAGCTGTAAAGGTCTGAACTGGGTGAACTAAGAATTATCGGAGGTACGCAATTATCCAGGAACGCATTTATCTAGGGACTCAAATATCCAGGGACGCAATTGTCTGGTACGCAATTGTCCGGGACGCAAATGTCCAGTATGCAACTGTTCTACAACCGAACTAAATAATGTAGCTCCCCCGAACACCTACCGTGATAACAGCGATGGAGTGGCGAAGGACAAGAAACGTTTCATTTGTGGGAAAAGGGGCTGTAGGGTGGGAAATAATTCATCCCCCAAGCACAACACACACACACACACACACACACACACATATATATATATATATATATATATATATATATATATATATATATATATATTGTGCTTATATAGTAAACATAATTTTTGTGTTAATTTTTTTCTTTTATGGATTTTAGGTTTTTTCGACTAAACTTTTTCAGGGAACGATCGTTATAGAATGAACTTATCGGATGTGATTCAGATGTGGAAATTGGAGAAAAACTTGGAACACGTCTAAAACAATTTGCGACTGAAACGTGTTTAGATTTAGATGTTTTCCAACTTTTTCTCCAATTTCCGCATATCTGCAGATCACATCCGTTAAGTTCATCCTGCCAAAGATCGTTCCCTGAGGAAGTGTTGGTCGAAAGGTTAACTAGGTCCTTATAAGAAGAAGAAAAAATGAACACAAAATTGTATTTATTCAAGTCGATCTATTTATTCTGTGGTGTCAAAACACTATTCATATATATATATATATATATATATATGTGTGTGTGTGTGTGTGTGTGTGTGTGTGTGTGTTCAAAAATGCATGCTGAATTAACTGATTTTAATTTTGCTTCGTAGAATTTGATAATTGCCCAGGCTTTTGACTCACTGCCAAATATTCCTGGCGAATCACAAAGAACATTGCGTTTTGAACACTGAGAGTCTGACTAATGAATTATATTTAAAAAACAAACTTCCTGCTTTGTATTTTATGCCAAGATTCTAATGAGGTAAACAAAATATAGAAATTCAAAAGATCACTCAGCGAATTTTACATGGAATATCGTATATATATATATATATAAAAAAAAAGATTAACTGACCTGGCATCTCAACTTCAACTAATTTCACACCGCCGTAACGTAGTTTCCCGCCGTCCTTTCTATAAATATTTTCATACCGATTGTTCTAATAAGCTTTCATCGATAGTACCTTGACCGAATGAATTTAATCGGACTACTAGGTTGACTCCTAGGTCGCATTCTTTTACAGTTGAAATAGCTAGATGTAACCGTAAGTTCTATTCTAAGAGTTTCTTCTCTCGTACTTCTCTCCCGTGGAACTCTCTCCCGATTTCTTTCTTCGCTGCCATCTACAATCTATAAAAATTTAAATGCAACCTCAATCGCCATTTTTCTCTCTTCCCGATTCTTGATCTGTTATTTTTCCTTCTCCTCAATAACGGGTTCTCATTTTATTTCACTGTCAGTAATCCCGTAATGGCATTAACACCTTGCTTGAGGTGAAACGATAAACCAAAAAAACATTTTCAATCTACGGTTGTGTTTTGGGGTCAAAGGCGCAATTAATAAAATCACACAATTTGTAAGGTATTCATTTATAGACTCTTCGGTGAAGAGAATCGTTTCTCTCAGTCTCTGTATGTTTATCTAAAAATAAATACGCTTAAATTCACCTTCATCCCTGCCGTGAGCCAACGGCTTAGGGGTAGAATTTCCGACTGACACCAATTCAACCGGCAACTGGACGTCTAGCCACACCGATGAACTGTGATACAGCGAAACAGTCTCTCTGTGGATGACAATATATATATATATGAAGAGAGAGAGAGAAAAATTTACTAAGCATAGCGTAGATGTGGCACACAGTCGAATATAGGGAGTAAGGAGGAAATTCCCTGCTCATCAATCTAAGTGAGACAAGCTTGCTAATTACGTCACGTTGAAGTTCTCATACGCAATATAAT